ACCAGTACAAGACGCTCCTTTCCGACGCCGACGGCAACATCTCTGGGCCGAAGACGGTCATCGCCGGCTTCGGCGCCGGTGTGACGGAGTCGGCCCTTGCCGTCACTCCCTTTGAGAGCATCAAGACTACGCTGTGAGTCTTTTGCTCCGCTACATCAACGGCAATGCATTATTACTGACACTACTGCCGCAGTATCGACGACAAGAAGTCCGGCAAGCCCCGAATGAAGGGTTTCCTCAGCGCCGTCCCCATCATTGCCCGCGAGCGCGGCCTCCGCGGGTTCTTCCAGGGCTTCGTGCCGACGACGGCCCGCCAGGCGGCCAACAGCGCGGTCCGGTTCAGCGCGTACAATGCGCTCAAGCAGATGGCCGAGTCCTACACGGCGCCCGGAGAGAAGCTGGGCGCCGTGGGCACGTTTGCGATGGGCGGCATCGCGGGATTAATCACGGTGTACGCCACGCAGCCCCTCGACACGATCAAGACGCGCATGCAGAGCATCACGGCACGACAGCAGTACGGCAACTCGTTCCGGTGTGCGGCCATGATCCTCAAGCAAGAGGGCGTCCTGACGTTGTGGAGTGGTGCGCTGCCGCGTTTGGCGCGTCTTGTGGTGAGCGGCGGTCTTGTTTTCACCATGTACGAGAAGAGCATGGATCTGATGAACAAGGTGGACCCTGAGGGAAGATACATCTAAGAAGGATTGCTACAAGATACAATGGCGTTGAGGTTCTACGTTTTTGTTTTGGTATAGATAGTTACACTATACAGGGTACAGATTTTGTACAAGATATGATACATAGGGCCTTGACCGTTACGTCAAGCATGCCCATGCTATGTAGATGGCTTCCTTTTCGCCGTGCGACGCCATTAAATGGATGGAGTCTCGTGTGGGTGTTTGTGTTGTGTGGTAGTTTGGTTTTGCGTCGTTCCTTGCTTATTCTATCATCATTGAAGTCTGAACATGCCCGACAACTTCTTGGACATGTTTTGCAGCCATCCTCGTGTCGGGGCCTCCTCGAGCTCTCTCAACAGGTCTTGAAAGTATGTGGGCTGGCTTTCGGGCTTCAAGAGTTCGCCATTGAGGGGGAACTGCGGGATGTATGTCAGAGGATTACGATGAGGCGAGGCCGTGGAGGTTGGTGCAGCTTACCCTCTTCTTGAAGCGATCATCGGTGAGGGCGAACATGGCGTTGGCCTGCTTCAGCTCCTTGGCCTCGTCGACGACATTGGGCTTGGTATACCTCCTCTCGATGCCTCTCTGGATGATTTCGCTGAACTGGGTCTCGGGGCGGAGGTTGTCCTTGGGCCACAAGGCAAGGGCAGACCTCATGTGCTTGTACGCTTGCTGTGGCAGGATAGTGTTAGTGACGGTGACGCGATAGTTGGAAGGGCGGGAAGGGAGGCAAAGAGGAGAGACATACACTCGTTGTGCGCGACATTGCGGCGATATTGGCAGTAATTAGAGAATGGAGGTGAGTCTACCGAATGCCGTCTACCTTATCATGGTCTTACCGCGGGGCAATGAGGCAGCAGTGGTGGATAGAGGGGGGTGGGTGCGGCGGTGGAGGGCGAAAGTCGCGGTAGCTTCAGAATCCCATCAACGACGTCAAGGATTTCGCATCAGATGGCGCCCGGTCGTAGACGTCCAAGAAATTCATTTCGTCGGAGCTAAGGGACTGCGCTGGATCGGCGCTTACGGGACTGGTCAGAGTGGAGATGAAATCGCCAAAGACGTGAATGACATTGGGTGGATTACTCAGAGGACTGTGATTGGAGGGAATGATCTCGAGTGGTCAGGGGGTCCCGATGGGTCGAAGAGGGTGGGGCTTTCACTACGTACCTTATCCGTACACAGTAAACATATGGGGCTACCTTAGTGAGCTGGCTTACCTTATGCGCATGACTCTTGCCTGAGGCATTCGACAGTAAGGCACCTTGTTCCCCGGTTGTCTTTGTCAGCCACTCAGGCCACCCAAGAGGCAGCCAGCCGTTGGCAGTCACCACCTCATTGCGGCAGCGGACTCGGAGCAACACAGAATTGGACCCCCGTGCCCCCTTCAGTCTCAATTTGTTCCAGCACATTCCCGCGGGTAAGGTACGAGTACGTATACGTAACCCCCCTACCAGCGATGGCAGCGACACTGAGAACCGTCTCCGCCTCCACTGTCACAGGGGCTTTTTAGCGTTAGAGCCGTATCTTAGGTAATCCACTCCACCGCAGCGAGACGAGGCGAAGCGAAGCGAACCAGCGACAGACAGCGCCCGGGTCGTGCGACAATCCCGACACTCCTGACCTCCTGTATTCGTACTTCGTTCACTACCTAGGTACCTACACTATCTTACAGCGTACTCCTCCCAAGTTACGCCTGGACTGACTCTCCGACGTTCATCACCGCAGACAAACCGAGCCAACGTTAATGGCGTAGTCCTCTTTTCCTCCGAACCAACATCCTTTTTTTTTTTTTTCTTCAGCACAACACCGCCATCGCCGTTCCTTTTTGTCGCCTCACCCCTCCGATTTCTCCTACGATCCTCGCGAAACACTTTCCTCGCCTTTTTTCTTTTCGTTTTTCGCCTGGTTCCTTTCGAATAACCCCCTCCGTATTCCCCGGCTTCTCCTTCCCCCCAACGCCTCTTCCCCCCCCCCCCCCCCCTCCCCCCCCCTCTCCCCCCCTTTTTTTTTTTTTTTTCCCTCTTTCCTTTCCACTACCCCCCCCCCTCCTCCCCCCCCTCCCCCTCCCCCCCCCCCCCCCCCCCCCCCCCCCCCCCCCAATTACCTACTACGCTGCGCTAGCCGTCTTCTCCCCCGGTGGCGAAAGGGGCGCCCCGAGTCCTACGGTTTCAAGACAACGAAAATAGAGAGAAAGAGAAAACAAACAACATTACACAACATTCGTCAAGATGGCTGGACGTTATGAGCGGGTATGCTGTGCCCCAAACCAGACACCATTCATTTCCCATTTTCTCTATGGTTCGCTGACAGTGTACTCTTTCCAGGTAAACGCTCAGGACGAGGACGACTTCAATAGCCCCAACTCCGCACCGCCAAGTCACGCGCAAACAGTGCCAAACTCTCCGCCCCCGTCCTTTCACTCGAGAGCATCATCGCGCGATCGTGCCGCCCACGGAGTCGACTCTACCCTTGCCGACGCATTCGATACCGATGGCGACGAAAGCGATGACGACGCCGACGACAGGCAAAGATTAGTCCGCGCCGACTCCACCCTGACCTCCCGCGACACGTCCCGCACCGTTTCCTCCGAGTCAAGACCCCAGCCCGATAGGCAGGTCACCCAGCTTCCTCCTACCACTGCATCGGCAGCAGGCGGACCTACGACGCCCTTCCGCATCTACGGCAGCGGTATCCAGAATGAGGGCGTCTTTTCCAACCTGACGGCGAAGCCTGAGCGGGGAGGCGAGACGAAGGAGGAGCAACCACCGGTATGTTCAATCCCCACTGTCACTATCCATGTCTTGCATGCGGAAAGACGGCATACGTTGTCCAAGAACACGATGTACTAACCAGTCTCTAGACATATGAGCAAGCCGCTGCGGATGCGGCACCCCCATACTGGGAGACGACTATCCTGGCTCCAGGCCTCGGCGGACCCGACGAGGTCTACATTGATGGGATGCCCGTCGGATCTCTCTTCAGTTTTGTCTGGAACGGCATGATTTCCATGTCCTTCCAGGTTGTCGGCTTCATCCTCACATACCTCCTCCACTCGACTCACGCGGCCAAGAACGGGTCCCGCGCCGGCCTGGGCATCACGTTAATTCAGTACGGTTTCTACATGAAGGGCACAACAGAGGGCGACCACCCGCCCAAGATGAACGGCCAAGACGGATACGCGGCACCACCGGACCCCAACTCGCACAGCTTCGACCCCAACGCGGTAACGGGAGAGGGCGGCGGCGGTGTTTCGGACATAACCGGACAAGAGTGGATTGCGTACATTTTGATGGTTGTTGGATGGTTCGTCCTCATTAGGTCTGTTAGCGACTACCTCAAGGCACGGCGCCACGAGCAGCTCGTCTTGCAGAGCCCCGACCGTGGACTGCCTGTGCCCATTATCGCAGATGGCGAGTCGTCCGAGAGAGTGGTATAGCATTGGCGTTTTCGTGTGTCACAGCGTGACGAAGCGCAGTGGGTTATTTTTTCGTGTCACAAAGTGGTTATTGGTCTGGGCCACGAGTCTACGACATTTGGCATCTCGCGCCTTTCCTTTGCGTCGTCCAGTGGGTCTTGGGTGTTTTACGGGAACGGAAATGGGAGCAGGGTAATCTACATAGGAAGCACAGCAGCAGCTTTCATTCTCGGCATCAATACTGAGGTTTTTCTTGGGTACATTCTATCCGTTCGTGTCTATTCCTCACTCACACAACCGTGACGTGATAACGGAATGCTATTCTTCCAGGCTTAGGCATATGATGATCCTGGAATTCAACATGGCGCAGACGAAAGAGACGTCTTTTAGTGCTTGCAGCGGGATGATCCGCTTAGTAGGCGGGGTCAGTGAGAGAGTTTCCAGGTTACCTACCTAATAAGCTCCCACTTGCCCGGGCAGCCTGAACTCCCTGGGTCGCTTATCGACAAGGTTTGAGAGCGCGGGGGATCAACCCACCTCCACCACATTCGCGCCATAACAGGCGCTGTACATAGCTCAAGTTGTAGCGGTTCAAGACATGCTGAGCTGGATATCTCGTGCTGGAAATGGAACTGAATCACCGTCACCCGTGATGGTCACCTCTGATGTTTACAACACACTCAATTTCCTTCCTTTAACAACATCATCTCGCATGCCCTCTTCCGAGAGAACTCTTCGCTTGCCTTACTAGATAACGCAAATCAACAGTCCACCATTTCAACCCAAGCAGAGCACCCGCCACAACGAATACTAGACGCCCTTTAGTCCGGAGAGCTCTCAAGCTCCTCCCGAGCTCAACACGACGACAGACCCCTCGCTTTCTACACCAAACCCCCGCCCCCAACTTCAAGATGGCCTGGCGAAGCTCCGGCGCGACAAATAAAGACCTGGTCGAGAACATGTGGCGGCATGGCCTCATCAAAGACCAACGAGTCAAAGACGCCTTTCTCAAGGTATCTTCAACCACAGCCACTGCCAGAGCATCTCTGACCTGCTGCCTAGGTTGACCGGGCACACTACGCTCCCGCTGCACCGTACGAAGACTCGCCCCAGTCCATAGGCCATAAGGCCACCATCTCGGCACCTCACATGCACGCCAGTGCCACCGAGTCTCTCCTCCCGCATATCCTGCCCTCCGAAACGAGGCCCGCGCCGCGGGTGCTGGACGTCGGTTCGGGATCGGGATACTTGACGCACCTGCTTGCCGAGCTCGTGGGTGATAGAGGGCTCGTTGTCGGGCTGGAGCATATCCAGGCGCTCAAAGACATGGGCGAGACCAATATGGCCAAAAGTGCCGAGGGGAGGGCACTCTTGGATAGCGGCAAGGTCAAGTTCCGGGTCGGTGACGGACGGAAGGGCTGGGTGGAGGCGCCGCGGGGCGGGGAGACGCGTGATTCTACGGGTTGGGATGCCATCCATGTTGGTGCTGCCGCGGTGGAGCTTCACCAGGAGTTGGTGGACCAGCTACGGGCGCCTGGCAGGTGAGCTGGGCGAACGCCCTTATCTGGTAAGGAATGCTAACTTTGGGCAGGATGTTCATCCCCGTCGAGGATGACAACGGCTACGATCAATACGTTTGGGCCATTGACAAGAAGGAGGACGGGTCCGTTGTGAAGGAGAAGCTATTCGGGGTTCGATATGTGCCACTGACTGATGCTCCCAAGGCGTGATTGTACGATACCGAATCAAGTTGCAACATTCATATTCGAGATACCTCATGAACAATAATACTAGAATTTTCTCTTCACCTTGCGTACCAGGAACAACGGCTCTCAAGTAAGACGTAGACTTACACCGCATACCATACTTTGCCCGACGCACGACTCAATCGGCCTACAGAGCATCCACATCCGTAGGTTTAGTATTTCGGCGGGTGTTGACCCTAGCAAATGGCATCGAAAAGTGCCAGGGTTGCTCTAATGGATCCTAGAGACAGTTAATCTATCTAGGGCCTGCGGGGACCCGAGCTGCATTAGTGGCCACCAGGAACACCGCCAGCAACATGCCTTCACCTCCGCATCGGCCCAGTCATGTCCTGTGTAGTACGAACACAGAGAGACAATGAGACTCTTGGAAACTGCCCACGGGTCACAGCCACTTGGGAACTTCGTCATCTACGAAGGAGACAATGCGCCAGACTTTGCTATTCTCTCCCATACCTGGGAAGCAGAGGAGGTTACATTGCAAGATGTGCACGATGCCCAGAAGGACATCACACTGATGGCCGGATACCCCAAGATCACGGGAGCCTGCCGACTTGCTCAAAGTCAGGGGTACGACTACATCTGGATCGATACGTGCTGCATCGACAAGACGAGCAGCGCCGAATTGTCCGAGGCCATCAACTCCATGTTCAACTGGTACGAACAGGCTAGTATTTGCTACGTCTACCTCTCCGACCTGGACTACTCGATATACCAGCAGCCAGGTATGACTGCTCCGTTGGAACTGGCGCTGCGCGAATGCCGATGGTTTACTCGCGGCTGGACGCTCCAGGAGCTCATCGCCCCCGACAACGTCGACTTTTACGACAAGAGCTGGCATCTTGTTGGCTCCAAACTCGACGAGTCACTCGGTCCCGCGCTCGCAAACGTCACGGGAATCAGTCTCGACATCCTGAACAAGACTGTTCCCCTGGAGTCGTCGAGCGTCGCCGAGCGCATGCACTGGGCCTCGTCGAGAGTCACGACCCGCAAGGAGGACCTGGCCTACAGCCTTATGGGCATCTTTGGCGTCAACATGCCGCTGCTGTACGGCGAGGGGATGAAGGCTTTTGCGCGGCTGCAGGAGGCCATACTCCAGGATACGGGAGACCATTCCATTTTCGCGTGGCACAGCAACTACGAGACGTCTACGCAGGAGGCGGCGTTTGACCAGCATATCCTCAGCGGCCTGCTTGCTCCGTCGCCGGTTGAGTTTTCCCAGTTTCAGTACCTTCGCCCGTTGCCGGCGTTCGGGACGACGGGGCAGCAGCCGATCCAGCTTACGAACCAGGGGATTAGGATTTCCATGTACCTTGAGCCCGTGGACGATGACCAAGGCGGTGATGACGGCAGCGCGGCGGACGACTTTTACGCTGTTTTGGACTGCGCTATCCAGGGCGAGAACGGGGATCAGTGCCCGCGCATCATGCTGAGGAAGTTGTCGGGGAACCAGTACGCCCGGGTCCGGACGGGGAGTGTCTGCACGGTGATCCCGGCGCCGGATTCGACGAGGCCGGGGCGGGGAAGCTACAAGACTGTTTTCGTCAAACGGAGCCCGGCGTATGTTTTGCCGGATATTTCTGTCCTCAAGGCGGGTTGGAAGGCGGGTGGCGCCCGGGAGGCGTATCGGGTTGTCGATTCATATCCCACGGGGCCGTGGGTGCCGAGTTTGGGGATTCTGAGGACGGGGAACCCGTATTTTGAGCCGGTGCTTGCTGGGTTGCGGTTTGAGTCGCCGACGAACGCGCGGATTCAGGTGGATGTTGTCGTCGGGTGGAGGAGGGTGGATGGGGAGTGGAAGGTGTGGTGTCATGCTTGTGAGGCGCAGGCTGATTTGGAGGTTGATGTGCTGTGGGGGGATACGCAGTTTGCCGTGTCTGGTGGGCTGGATCAGTTTGTTGAGACGGATGTGGAGGTCAAGGTCCAAGTCGAGGGAGATGTTGCACGGAATTGGAGGAGTAGAGGGTTCGCTCAGGTCAAGAGGCATGAGGTTCCTGTGCGCGTGAGGTTGGTGGAGGTTGATAGGCTTGGGAGGAAGGGGGTTAGGATCGAGTGTTGTGCGCCGTTGCAGCCGCATATTCCTGGCTATCAGAAGACGGGGCTCTTGCCGTGGGACGAATATGATTGACTGATGATGAAATCTGGATGTGGTGACTGTGATAATGTAAAGGATTTGTCGAGGTTCACTTGTGGTCATAGGGTGCGAAGCGGAAACGCCATCACGGGCTTTGATCAGATATCCTTACATCTGATGCTATGAGGCTAGCATCATACTAACATTCCAAAGGTCACAGGGTAATCAGAGACAGCGATATATAAGAGAGGAAGAGGGTCAAAGATGATAAATGTTGCAAAATAACAAAGATGAGGGCAGGTTCCCAGACCGTCCACTCCTCAGCCACGTCGCAAAAAGAACGCACGCAGCCTGCCCATCCAGGAGTAACCGAAAAACGCCTCATAAATCATGACATCGTCTCAAATCTGGTTCTGTTCTTCCTCCTTGGCGACATCCGCTTGCCTCGAGTCCATGACCCCGCTAAGGTGCGTATAGGCTATTACAACGTTACCAATCTGCGGCATATGCTTGATGCTCAAAAAGGCCTGGCCGTGATCCATGCCGGCCAGGTACATGAGCTCCAGCTCCCCTTTCCCGCTCCACCTCTGAGGCGTCGTCGCCCACTCGGGCTTGTCGTGCCGCGTGTAGTTGAGATCGCCAAAGTAGACGTAGCTCGCCACGGCGTCTGGGTCGGTGACGCAGTCCTCGCCGCCGAGGACGACGGTGGTGCGCTTTCCCTGTAGCTGGGGCGTCCAGAGGATGAAATCTTGCCAACGGAAGCGGCGGGCAAGGGTGTGCGCGACCATGGGGTCTGTGGCGACGAACCAGATTTGCCATTCGTTGCCCCATTTCGGTGTGCGCCGCGTGAAGTTGTAGGCTACGGCGGGGAGGTGGAGGAGCAGTGACACGGGGTCGATGAGAACGATGGAGTTGATCTTTGCCGCGATGTCGGGTCTTTGTAGCAGCGGAGAAACGAAGAGCGTGCCAAAGGAGTTTCCAACAAAGACAAAGTCATTATAGTTTTGCTGTTTGATGATGGCGTCTATACCGTCGACGAGCTCCTTGGTCGTCTGCAGAGGGGGGCAAATGCGCGAGGAGACAGGGAGAATCTCGATGCAGAGCACGCCGACGTCCTTGGGAATGCTCCACAGCCATAGTAGATACGGGAGCATGCCGACGCCGACGCCGTGCATGAAGAGGATGGGACGCTTGGTCTCCGACGTGTGCGGGCGGCAGAAGTAGCTTAGCTTCGGGTCGGCAGACTCGTTGGGTGAGAAGAGGGTCATGGGCCGCCATGGGAAGACGGAGAAGAAGGTGTTGCGTGGTTGACGGTAGAATCTGAAGCCTCTGATGAAGAGGATGAGGGTCGCGAAGAAGTCGAGGGTGCCAGTAGTCTTTTGAATGCGTTAGTCTCCAAAATCGGCTAAGTTGAGGATAATGTTGACCACAGAGACACTTACAAGGTAATACATCAAGCTCCGGTGGGTGATTGTGATGGAATCAAAACTGAGTCGCATCGGTGTTGCGTCTCCAAAGCCTCTCTTGATATTGACTCCAGCCCGCTCTTCGGTTTCCGCAATGTACTCCTCGAGTTCTTCGTCGTGTTCTTGCGGATTGCCTTGCTTGTCGAACAATGCCCACATCAGCCAGTCTTTGACATTCTCCCTGCGAATATCGCCGAGCTGGGCGTTGCAGTGCCATTTTCGGATATACTGCTCGACATCTGGTGCGTGGTCCAGTCCCTGGTAGAAGAACCGCCGGCGTTCTTCCTGGTTCAAAGGCTCTGGTTGTAGGCCGGGTTTCTGGAGACGACGGCGATACGGTACGAACCAGGCAAAGTAAAAGACGATTTCGATGATGCCGACGACTTCGATGAGGATCGATACGGGATGAGCGATGCCGGGTACACCAGCGAGGGCGAATATGAACCAAAAGTAGAGGAAGCAGAGAAACCCGAGGTACTGAAAGTATATTACCATGGACCTCACGAGGATGAGTTCCGGAACCGACCTTCCCACGAGCATTTTTGTATTAGAGGTTGCTGGACGGCGCGAGTGCCTAGTTGTGCATAGGAAAGCTCTCTTCGATCTGTCAGAGTCCCTTGGCGTTGACGACGTCTGTCAAGGCTAAGACAAGTTGACTGTGCAGCGGCATACCACGATCTTAATACGACGGAGAATTAGAATCGACAAGCTTGGGACCCGCGTCAGAGATCTACGAAACGGCATGGGCCCGGCCTGCAAGCAACATGGATCCATCTGGCCGAGGGTGGTTCCCTTTTGCTTTGTCTACGCTTGTGATCTGAACGGCACAACGGCCGCTGGTAAGGGCCACAAACATGCTCAAACCGAACAGAACTTTCCAGGTGCGTTCCTTGTTGTCCGGGCACTGCCTTGGAGCCTTGGACTGTGGAAAGACAGATTGCGAATGAAAGTTGGGTGATGGAATCGGACGAAACTCAAACGGAAGCGACATGGTGCCATCTCTCAACTGGAGATTAGTCGTGCGGACTTTTCTGCGGGCTGATTCCCCTCTCTTGGGTTGTAGTCAAGTGTTCAGCGCTCCCACCAATGCCACGCCGAAACGTCACAGTCTGTGCTGTTGAGTTGGGTTGGGGAAGTGAGCTGCGAGATGCTGCAGGGACTTGCTTGTCTCGATGGTGGGTAGCGACGTCGTTATAGATCAGGGAGTGATCGGTGAGCTCGAAGCCAATTGCCCGATTCAGTTCTGTACGATGCATTCGCGTGAGGGAGGCGACGGGGGTCTGCTGGCTGAGTGTAAGTCGGGGACAGTAGTGGGACGTGGCAAGTCGGGTCGACATGTGCCATCTCGAGTCGCATAGGTGTTGTATCGCAAAGACGAGCAGCAGTTCATGATGCGTCAAATGTGCACGGATTCAAGAATACACTCTGGTGGCGGAAGTCAGTCATTGGGAAGACGACAGAGTGAATAGACGTAGGTTCGGATACGATGGTCTGTGTTGGTAACTATGGCCACTCTTTGAAAAGTATGTTGGCCGCAGCAAACTGTAGCAGCTTCATCTTGGGAGGCGCAGGGTTTCGGTGATGGAGACTGAGAGAGTTGAAGATGTCAGTAAAAGAGCATTGGAGTGTTGACGATGGGATCCGAGTCGAGTTGTCCAGGGACTTCTCTCCAGCCGGATTTGGAATGCGAGTCGACCCGCTGCCTTCCCAACCAGGCGGCCCTACCAGCCTGTGTCCTAACTAGACTTAGACTAGCGTCAAGCCACCGGGGTCAAATCCCGTGCAAAGACCCACATGTAAGATCCACTCAAGGACCCGCAATTCTGATAAGCAAAAGATGGCTTGACCCACTACGTCTATCAGAGCATTCCGACTGGACGCCACCAGTTTGAGCGGAGGAACATTCCAACCGTATTCCAGCCCTGTGGCCGTGTCCTCTTTTGGTGACATTCCCTCACCCCAAAACGAGCATTGTGACGGTTGGCATCGATTCCTTCGATGCTGTCAGCCTGTCGCCTGTCAACATGTAAGCCATACATGCATCACACACGGTGATTCGGCCTAACTATGCACTCTCACGGCCCTGTGTGGCTTGCGGACTTTGCATCGCAGTCGTGTCCTTCGAGGCCCCCAAGCGGTATTGACGCGGACTTCTGGTAGGATAAAAGGCGATGGAGCTCCCGCTTTCCAAGTGGAATATGAAGATTTGGTCATCATTCTAAATCACCACTCTCAACTCTCACAAAAATCAGTCTCACCTTCTAGGATAAAAGGAATCCTCTCTTCATCTCTTGTCGATCTCAAACACCTCAGTGGAACCGATCTACCAACAAGCCCCCGGCCCCGATCCGCCATCCCGCACTCGGTCTCACCTCTCGCATCCGTACTCGGTTCCGTCCCGAAACCCCATCACCAAGGCGCTTACACGGCACGCCACGGATCACTCGACGATCATGTCTTCCGCAAAGACCATTCTCTTCCTCGGAGCCACTGGCGGCTGCGGACTCTCAGCTCTGCGCCGTTCCCTCGATGCCGGCTTCACGTGCATCGCCCTGTGCCGCACACCGTCCAAGCTGACCTCCGTCCTCCCGTCCGAAAAGTACCCCAACCTCCGCATCGAACAAGGCAACGCCCACGACGCTGACGTGATTGCCCGATGCGTCGTCTCGCCCCTTGACGCAACCCGCTTCGTCGACGCCGTCGTCTCCTCCATCGGCGCCTGGTTTGAGCTGCGCAAGATGAACCTCGAGGACGTCAACGTCTGCGAAAAGGGCATGACTGTGTTGCTCGGCGCGATCAAGAAGCTGCGCACCGAAAAGGGCGTCTCTGGACGGCCGCGTGTCATTGGGCTCAGCAGCACTGGCATTTCCAAGTTTGGCAGAGACACGCCCCTCGTTATTCAACCTCTCTACAAGGGCCTCTTGCACACCCCGCACATGGACAAGAAAGCCATGGAGGAACTTCTCTTTGCGAGTGGTGAAGCCTGGACGGTGGTGCGCGCTAGCTTCCTGACCAACGGAAAGGAGCAGCCCGCAGGCACAGTCCGGGTGGGCGTCGAGGACCCCGTCAAGGGTGTTGAGGAACTGGCCATTGGGTACAGCATTGCCCGTGAAGACGTTGGCAAGTGGATGTTTGACAACATCTTGCAAAAGAACGGAGACGACAAATATGTTGCCAAAGTTGCAACGGTCACCTACTAATCACCACTACCTTGGGCTGTTGTTTTGCTTCGCTTCTCACCATGTTTCTGCTTGGCTTCCCATAGACATCTCCTTTCAATACCCTTGTTCCGTACGTTCTACTCGTTTTGCTACAAGTTGTCGATTACGAATTACCTATAATATAACATTTGATACGCTTCCTGCTTCAAACTGTGTACTGATTCCGGCGTATAAAGGCCTGGAGCATGTCGCTATTCGCTGGTTTCCAAACCAAGACTTTTCTCCTCTCCGTCCCTCTACAACATCATCTCCCTTGACCAGCCCACCCTTCATCTTGAGTCATCTTCCAGGAGGCCCACATTGCGATGAATAAAGTAGACGAGCTGATCTATGCTATCAGGCTCGGTGATCCAGTGGCCACCATATT